GAACAGGAGGTCCGCTGGCTGGAACTCTTGACAGAGTTCGACTTTGGCACGTAGCGTATGCAGGGAGTGCGACCTCCCAACGACGACGGTGGTCTTCGAACGAACCATTCTGCGTCTCGCTGGCCGCGGCTGAAAGACTCTGACTCAAAACTGGTAGCAACATGGACTATCTACGGGACATGACCCCATACACAAACCAGCGTACTGCAGCAGTGATCCACGGTACTTACGAAGACCACTGGAAAGTCTCTCCATAGAGAACAGAGTGCTCTTTTATAATTGAACCGATGAGCCTAACAGAACGACGACACCAGAGGCTTTCCGAAGGAACCGAAGAAACTCTAATCACAGTGAGATTCATGATTTACCGGTAGCCAGCTCTGACCTGCGAAGAAGGTCGAAAATCTGCAACTGAGCGAAAGAACCCTGCCGACGACTTCGCGTCCCCCTTCAGCCGAGTGAAGTCGGAAACTCAATGCAACGGCCGGCGATGGCCTTCATGAGGTTGTTGCCAGAAACAAATGACGGCAACTGCTACATTTTAATGGCCTGTATTTACTTTACAAAGTTGGCTGAGGACTTCCTCGTAACCGCAACCACAGTAACACGACTATTAGCCTACGACGTTTTCACCCTATGTGGATTTCCGCGGCAACTATATTCCATTCATTGGCGAAGCTTTGAAGCCGAACTGCTTGTCGAGATAGGCAGAAGGGTGCGTATCCAGAAAGCGCGTACGACGCCATAACACCATCAGTCAAACGGCCTTGTAGAACGATTTAATCGTACGATGCCGTCAATACAAAGAGCCTCCGTACAAGACCACCAGTTTGACTGGACGAGAGCATCCAACCGATGATGATGGCATACCGGACAAGTGTCAATCAAACAACAAGGGCAACGATGTTTCCGTTCATGGACGACAAAGTAGCACAATTCCCGGTGGAACTAGTCTATGGTGACCCTGAAGAACACAGAGAGATCAACAAAGACTGTGTCAGACACAATGGGATATCCATCTAGAACAATGGATCCAGATGTTGTACCACCACTTAAGAGTTGTGCATCCTCAATTGACTGCCAGACAACGGGTATGGTTTTTGATGCCATAAAGGGTAAACTGCCGGCTCGGGGAGACCAGCAGTACTTGATAAAGAAAGTTCTTGCCAAATGCGTGATTGCAGTGGAGTATGATGCAAATCCCCGGTTAAGACATTGCAATGGGCTGAAACCGTGACGGGCGACGGCAGAACCGGAAGGAAGGCCAGCAGCGGCCCGACTACCTCGGCTTCGAACGATGCCTATGAGAATTTACAAGTTCTCGATCCTCAAGCAATCTTTCGACCCTCCGGAGCCGATTGTGGACGATTTCGGATAAACTTGGGAGATGATAAGCTGTGTTTACCGCTGAAGTTTTAAAGCAGGCCGAATATCATGCAACACGTCAATCATTCCATGGATCTGCGAGAAACTGAACCGACTTGCATCCGTGAAAGCTAAATCAAGCAGCAGTTGGCGATCAGAGGATTTGCAGTACAGTGGCATGGTAACCGGACAAACCAGCTCCCCAGACTAAAACCCCCTGACAAAACCTCCCAAAAAAACCACTTGTGAGAATTAATTTTTGAGCAGGATCTGGACCATGAAAAGAGTATTTAACCGTTCTACAAGCTGCTCTCCTCGAACTCTAACTTTGGTTTTACATTCGATATTGTGGCGTCTCCTTTCACACTCGAACGACATAACTCCATTTGTCATATTTTTCTGCTTCGCATACACCTTCTCCTTTCTATTATTCGATTTTACAAATTCCATCATGGATTACAATACTTTTGAGATACTAGACGCTCATCGGGAATTCAACATGATCCCTTTTAATGATGAGTGGAAGACCTCTATTCTTCAAACAGTTTTTGTCCACGGAGCGGGCGGGAGTTTGGTCTTATAACCCTATGGCATCCAGTTATGTTTTTTGATGTATGCCTACATACACGGCGTTGACATAAATAAGGCTTATATGTGCATCTGCTTTCTCTAAGCTACCTGTCGAAGATCGCCACCAACAAGCTTGAATGAACCACCACACATAGCTACATTATGTACTGTACTTTACGGCAATACTGTTGTGCGCTTATAGAAAACCTTTTACTCCTAAGTGAACAAACTTCCTTCACTCTTCCTCTTCTTCTTCTTCTTCTTGTTTTGTTCTGTTATCATCTACCAACTCTTATCTGAATACTCCGTCCTTCTTCTCAAGGTGTAACCAGGCCGCAAAGGTGATAGCAGCATTTCATATATCATTCTGCCATTTAGCTCTGGTTGAGAGTCGAAGACAACGCCGTGGTAGATTTTTAATCATAACTTTTGGTAAGTCACTAAATTGGCAATCCTCATGCCATACTGCGTAACTGACCTTACCAAGTCCAGCTGCCATTTTAATGCAAGGAGAATTGTCCCATGGTTTCATTCCCCCAAAACTCCGTCCTTTGAGGTTCGCGTATCGAAACAGAATTCGTGGTGCAGCATGATAGAGAGTAATTTTTGATGTATGATATTCATGATTCACTTTACAGGTTTGTGTAAAATCCTAAGTGAACAGTGAACAATGTCTAGTCGCTCTGGTATCGTTTACCATGAACCATTAAACAGGTTGTTTCAATTCCCTCGGATCGCTTTGACATTACAGTAATCGGCAACGAATCATGCTCGCCATTCAACGCCGTTTCGAGTCCTTTCTACAAAATCGGCCTTCAGGACTCCACGTATAATCTTCCCACCGTCGTGGTGGGGACCGGACGGTCTAGTCCGCCGGTGAGGGTAGCCGTGGACGGCCATTGTCGACCATTTGTCGTCACTCTGTCGAGCTGCATGCTCGGGCCGCCGTAGGTCATCCTTTCAGCTCTGGAGGTCAACGTTCTTCAATCCTGCCACGGTCTGATCATCGTGTTCAGAGTTTCGTCAATACGCACTCCTAACATTCTTCTTTTCATGGTTCTCTCGATGACAAATGGCTGACGCTCTTCGACTTTAACGGGTGACCATGCAAAATTACCGGTAAAATTCTAGCACTGAAGAGACCAACGCCGGTTTCTTTCCTCACGTTGCCGAGAGTACGTTTTTTGATGGAACCGAACGAGCACCAAATAGCTCTCTTTCGTGCAGTCTCTCCAGCTGAACCTCTCTGCGTATCGATCTCTTGGCCCGAGTAAATGTATTTATCGACTTCTTCGACGTTTAGCCGTTAAACATTACCTGGGCCTTCGGCAGGACATCTGGTCTTCGACTTTCATCGATTGATTCGCGGTCTGACTTTTGTACATCCGTTCTCGATTCCTTGTAGCATATCTTGTAGCGGACCGACGTTTCTCGCAAACACCTCCACGTCGTCATCGAATCTTAGACGACTGAGCAGTTTGCCATTGATGTTAATACAACACTTCCGGTTCATCTTTCGGATCACCACTTTCATATAGACAGCGAAGTATTTGGGGGAGAAGGTGCCTCCCTAATTCACGATTTTTTTACCAGAATCCGACGGGGGG